AGACGCCACAGCAGGAAGGGCTGCTACCCAGAAAGGTTGTTGGAACTGTGGAAAGCAAGGACCTTTCAGGAGCCAGTGTGGGAGGAATATTACCAACAAGTCAGCCTCAAGGAGACCAGTAGTGGTTGATGTTGAGGGACACTCACCAACCCCCATCATGAAAGTTCCAACAGCTAGGTGTAAAATGCCAAGCACACACAGTGTCTATGTGACAGGAAAGCTAGATGTCCAAAGGTGCAACTTTGTCATAGATTCTGCATCTCAGCAAACCCTTGTGAGCATCAAGGTGTTAGCTCATGAAGGAGTACCAGAAGCCATACAGAAGCTTTGTGGTGTGACAGGACATTCTACAAGGTTGTGGAGACCAGTGTGGGTAACTATTGAGCTCATGGGCATAAAGGGCAGACAGAAAGTATACTTGGCTGACATTGAAGACGAATGCATATTAGGATTGGACTACTTACTACCGAGGAAGTTTGTAATTAATTTTGATAAAATGACGTTTGGGAACAACAAAGGCCAAGTTCCGGTAACTGTTATAAGAGAGGTTGAACTAATTAGGTGTCACTAAGCTGAATTCAAAGTGACTGAAGGAGTTGATGATGGTGAAATGGAACCAGGTATAGATATTAAATCAGAGCAGGACAAAGACCAAGATTTGAAGCCAATAATTGATTTTCTAAAAGCAAGTGTTTTGTGCCCTGCTTGAGAAAAGGTGTCTCATCTAAGCCCTGTGACAAAGAACTATTGAGCACAGTGGGACTAGTTGGAGCTTGAAGATGGTATTCTTCTCCGAAGATGGGAAACTGCAGATGGGAAAGTGACGACCTGGCAAACAGTTTTACCGAGAAAGTTATGGGAAGTTGTGCTGCGTCAATCCCATGATACTTTAACAGCAGGGCATCTCAAAGTTAAGAAAACATTGAGTCACCTACGACAGAGATTTTACTGGACAGGTATGAGGCAAGATGTGGAAGAATGGTGCAGGACATGCAGTCATGTTGTGCTAAGAGGGGACCCAAGCATAAGGGACGTGCTCCAATGAAGTTATATCAAGTTGGCACACCAATGGAAAGAGTAGCCGTTGACATTGCTGGTCCTCTGCCCCAAACTCGTGCTGGAAACAAGTACATTTGTGTGGTAATGGATTATTTCACCAAGTGGCCTGAGGCATATGCAATACCAAATCAGGAAGCTACAACTGTAACTTTGGCTATTAGTGATTTCTTCTTCAGATTTGGTATGCCATATGAACTGCATTCAGATCAAGTCCATAACTTTGAATCAGCTGTGTTCCAAGAATGCTGCATGTTCTTTGGCATCCGAAAGTCCAGGACAATGGCACTTCACCCAAAGTCCGATGCGATGGTAAAAAAGTGAAACTGGACACTGGGACAGGAATAGGCAAAGTTTTGTAATAGCCACCAAGATGACT